ATAACTAATGTAATATATATATATATATATTACATTAGTTATATATATATATATATATAACTAATGTATATATAACTAATGTAATATATATATATATATATTACATTAGTTATATATATATATATATATAACTAATGTATATATAACTAATGTAATATATATATATATATATTACATTAGTTATATATATATATATATATAACTAATGTATATATAACTAATGTAATATATATATATTACACACACACACACAACAGTTTTAAGTTTATTTTTATTGTCATTTAATCATTTTCAAATGTCCCAGAATGATCTCCTTTTATAGTAGAATAAACAATGCCTAAGCTTAAAATGTATTTTTATTATAAATGTAAGACAACAGTTGAAAAAGCGACTCCTGCAGAACAGCGCCTCCTCTGGTGTGGAGGTGAGGATGAGCCACTGCACTGAATCACATCAACATCTGTCAGACTGACTCGTGTTAATCTGTGCAGTACTCCGGCTAACACTGGTTTGTTCTTTACGTCATTCGATTGTTTTTGGTGTGAACAATGTGCAGCCTGAAGATGCTCTCCCTGACTACGACCTGAGCAACACCAACCACCTAAACGGGTCATTTGTCCTAAAACTTCAATACAAAATGGATAAAACGGTGCAGGGCACTAAACGGCATGCTGCAGTCGACGTGTGCAGGATGACAGATATATTTTCCTCCTAACTATTTTGTCTGTTCATGTCGGATCCAACGCTCTTGTCTGCGTTTGAGACCAGCAAAAGTGATCGAAAAGAGACACCGTTATTTTATTGAAGTGATTTATTTTAGACGTGACAAAAATAACATTTCTATCCCACCCTGGAGCAGTCGGCAGCGTGGTGCATGTGTGACTCACTGGTGGGGCCTCGGCTCCTCTTTGGCTCCTCTTCGGCTCCTCTTCGGCTCCTCTTCGGCTCGGTTCGGCTCCAAGCCTTTTTCCACTGAACATTTTGTGGAACCGGTACCTTTTTGGTCCCTTCTTCTCTGGGCTACCATTCATGAAAACATGACGTCAGAACACTGCCGGTCACTGATTGGTCAGGGGGCGGAGTCAAGTGAGGGGTTTGGGAAATTTTCGCAACACTCGATCTGCCATTTGCAATCACCGGTACTCGAACCCCAGGAGCGATTGGACCCATTTTTAAGCTTTTGAAAACAATACATCATAGACTTTCTAAAGGTCAGGAGAGTTTGCTGGCCACTTAAGAACAGGGACACCATGGTCCTTAAAACAGTTACTGGCATCTTTGGACTGTGTGCAGGGGCCAAGTCCTGTTGGAAAATGAAATCTGCATCTCCATAAAGTTGGTCAGCAGCAGGAAGTCTCTAAAACTTCCTGGTAGACGACTGCGTTGACCTTTGACCTCAGAAAACACAGTGGACCAGCACCAGCAGAGGACATGGCTCCAAACCATCACTGACTGGAAACTTGACACTGGACCTCGGGCAACGTGGATTCTGTGTCTCTCCTCTTCCTCCAGACTCTGGGACCTGGATTTCCAAAGGAAATGTAAAATGTTCTTTCATCAGAGAACATCAGTTTGGACGCTCAGTCCCAGGCGAGACGCTTGACTCGAGGACTGTGACCCCTGAACCCTCGTCTTGCATACCACTTGGACGTAGTTTCATTATTTCTCCACCGTCACTCACTGTAAACCTAGTTACAATAAAGTCTTTGAGTAATTGTGCTGGAGAGACGGACTGAATGTGCTGTTTCTGTGAAACAACATTTAGCTCAATGTATTTAATTGAAAAAAACATTTAAAAATGACCTAAATAAATAAATTTCTGAATAGTTGTGATTTAAACTTTGCATTGGCTGCAAAGTCTGGATACTCGGTGACTGTGGGATTGCAGATTTTAAAACTAAACGGAATCATTAGACGTGTTCGTGTGCGGGTGTTGAGCTCTGATGGAAAAACCTTGTTCTAGTTTAAAGTGAAGACTCGGCAAAGACATTTTCTTCATTTGAAACATTTCGGAGAAGGCAGTCTTTTATTATTAACCATTTTTATTTATGAAAGAAGCAGTTTTAAAGTAAGCTCATTCTTAACTTAGGAACTTGTTAAAGTTTTTTAAAGTTTAACTGAACTAACACGAGTTTGGCTAATAACCACTTTGACTCATTTAATTCAAGATAATCATCTATGAACTCCTGTTAAATTGTATATTTTTGACTGGTACAAAGCGAACTTTAACGAGCACAGACAGAAGAACACTTGTATTTCAGTTTCATGCCCTGCCTCGATGCATCTTTGATTCCTTCAGTGAGTTTCACGTGTCTGCAACACAGGAGTTAATAATGAATGAACCAGGAGCTAAATATGAACGTTTCTTTTTCTGAGTGACAAACCTTTGGCATATCAAATACAGTGAGTGTTAGAAAACTGCAGGAGTGAAAGAAAATACTTGATTTTAGGTGTTCACACAAAGTTCTTTACGAGCTCAGAACTCCGTGCACGATAAAAGATTGTCTTTAATTAGGTTGTTGTTCAGCAGTTACATGTGACAAGTTGACATAAATAAAGATTAAAGGGCAGAAATCTAACAGTGAATCTGCTTTCAGATGAGAATATTCAAAGTGTTTAACAAACCCTTCCAACTGTTTTCAGGCTTCATTCTGTCTCTGGAGAGACGTCAGCGTTCGGGCCTGATGGATCCATTTCACATGGGATTGCGCTTCGTTTCTGGTGCAGTGTCTTTATCCTTTGGCTCGAGTCACAGATCAACGTTCAGATCGTGGTTGTTCTCTGAATCCTCTCCAGGATTGTCCATCTTCACCCCGAGTCCACTGTCCAGATCTGTGTCAGCGAAGCCAACCTTTGGAGCTTTCATCCGGTAACGTTTCATTTCGGATACATTTTGCTCCTCATCTTCCTCATCGCTGTCTTCTTCTCTGCTGTCTGGGATGATAACCACCTCCTCCTTGGCGTTGGGATCGATGTCCTCCTTAAACCAGACAGACTTGTATCCCTCCTCAACCCGCCTTTCCTTGGTCAGGATAGGTTTCACGTCTTTCTCGTCATCAGCCTTATCCGAGTTGTTGTCGCTGGCGTCAGGCAGCAGTGGGGGCAGTGGTGCAGAAGACCTCTGGGGCACCTCTTTGCTGGGGTGGTTCCAATCCATCTTTGGTGGGTATCCACCAGCTGTGGTGTTTCCCACCTCTGGACCCCCTGAACCTACGCTGCTTCCGTCCTCATCTTTGTGGAAAGCCTCGTTGGTGTACTGAACTCCCTCCTTGGGACCTCCTGAGCTTTGGCCCAGCTGCGCCAGGAGACAGAAGAAGAGACAAACGTTTTCTTTTCAAAAGGTGTTTGATAAAAAGCTTTTCCAGCTGGTTACATTCAATCATATGAACAAGCACAAAGCTCTGACACGTACCTAACAGGCCTCTACTGCAGTCACAGCGACTTTATTAAACACATTTTATTTTTATTAAACCGTTATTTAACCAGATTTAAAAAAGCTCATTAAGATCAAGACGTCTTTGACATGAGTGACCTGAGCACGAGCAGGCAGCCGTGCACGTCATAAAACAAGACGAGAGAAGAACAGGACTTCAGAAATCTATAATATACACGGTAATAGTTGTAATAATAATACTTTCAAAGAACAACAGTTCAAGATGTAAAACAGTTCCTGTTGACAAGAAACCCTTTGTTGTTGTGTTTTAAAGTCTGCAGAATCCCTCAAAGTATCAAGTTCTGTCAGTTTGAATGAGCTCCAAGCTGAAGGGGCAGAAGGTCAAAGCTTCCTGATCTTTCTGTTCACACACGACCAACATGAAGATGCAAAGAGTCCTTAGAGCGTGAGGCGTAACTACTTTCCATTCTTTGAATAAAAGTACATAAATAAAGTGGAAGCAGGCCCATGAGAGACTTGTCCACCAGAGTCATCCAGTGTTAAACAGGGAGGACATACTGGTTTTAAAACAGAGATCACAGTGATGAGTAAGAAAGCTACAACCAGTAATTAATCTTAATGCACAATGGTCCACTGGATTCAAGGACTGTAGAAACTGTTTGAAACGCACACATAGACAACATCTCCATGGTCAAGTACAGGTAAAAAAAAAAAAAAAGTAGCTGTGATCAGAAGCTTCCTAGCTTCTTGTTTCATTTACTCTTTATTTCTACAGGTAGTCTCAGTGAGTCACGAGAACTCTAAAAAAGTTCAGTCTGGTCCTCCGGACATTCAAAATACAAAGCAAAGAAAAAATGTAGAAACGTTTCGTCTCTCATCCGAGAGACTTCCTCAGTCTGAGGTGCTGTATTCAGCTCAGTCTCTTAAATAGCACCTTCTCAGAGTGGATCAACCAGTTTGCTGCTGACAACCAAAACCAGCTGATCACATGCTCAAGAAGGACCATCAGCCTAACAATGGATCATTAGCACCTGATGGCTGTTTACTGTTCACAGAGGGCTGAGTGATACTAGCAATCACAGCATTGTAAGAGGGGGACAGTTGAACCTGGAGGCTCCGCCCCTGTTTAATGATGGACGGTTTCTTTTCACAAAGATGGCCTCCTTTACTCCTCTCTCAAACCATCGTTCCTCTCTGTCCAGGATGTGAACATCTTCATCCCTGAAAGAGTGACCGCTGGCCTGGAGATGAGTGTAGACCGCAGAGTCCTGGCCTGATGATGTTGATCTTCTGTGCTGGTCCATCCTTTTGGCCAGTGG